CAGAGAAGGAGAACAAAAAGCCTGAAATGAGTTTGCAGCTACCCCGTTGGGAGATGGATGTGCTGAAGATGAAGTGATGATCATCTTTCCTCCCTGCTAAAATGAAATATGATGGTGAGGGTGCTCTGTGCCATTTCCTGCCTGGCACAGGAAGCGCCCATCTGGAGTTGAGTGCTGTCTGTCCTCTGTTGTTGTGTTGCACAACGTTGTAATGGCTCTTGTCACTGCTGTTGCTATTCTCAGTGCAGTTATTATTCCTGAAGCACCAAGAGGCAGCGACAGGTCAGGTGACGGGAGGAAGAAATATCATTCATTCATAGGTTAAGACAGTGTGCAGGACAACAGGAGAGAGAAGTGATGATGTTATTATTTAAACTAGGACAAGGGGGAGGGGGCATATGATTGAGTCTATAGGTGGACGAGCAGTGAGACACATGCTGGCATCTGCCCATACAACTGTCACTTCCTGCCCGCCAGAGAAGCAGAAGGAAGCCAGTCGTCATCAGTGTGACAACCAACGCGTGACAAGAGGAGGAAGGAAACTTATCCATCAAAAAATGATGCAGGGATGAGTACACTGCTCCGTCTTTCTGTACCCACACACAGACACCAACACACACACACATACACACTCAACAATGCTTTCATATTTCATTTGGGTCATCAAGGATGACTGTCTCCGAGAGGAAATCTGATGCCTCCTTGCATCCTCTCAGTGACAAAATAACACATTTGCCTCATAATGAAGCGAGTCTAATGGTTAAAGCACACAGACACCACGGGAAAAACACACCAGGATGAAAAACCCACAAATTCAAGTCTGGGAATTAAAAGCAAAAGTCAAAGCCAAAGCCAAACACTGTTACTGTGACTCTAAAAGCAAGTGGCCGCTTCCACTGCAGACCAAAGAAGGAATTTATCTGATGGAAAATGAACTTATTATGCACCAAAAATGCTTCTCAAAACAGTAGAGATTTTGCTGCTGACTGTGATTAAAATTACACAGCACCTCCAAATTAAGGCTATACGTACCAATATTAAAATACACAACATATTCTGCTGTGAAATAACATTTTTTTATTATTATTTCCCAGTCCACTCAGAAACCTGCCTGATGGATTTCTCATTAACTGCATACTTAATAGGTACATGAACTCTTGCCACCCGTATAAAGCAGCTAAATTTCAGGCTGATGGTTGGGATCACAGGGGGATAAAAAAGACCTAATGGAAAGCTACTGTGCACCAAGGCTTTGATGCGTGTGCAAATGTCACAAACTGGAAAATGTAAGTCTTGCGCACCACCTAGTGGCTTAATGTATGTACGGCTGAGTAAAACTGAACAAACGCATAGCACCGGAGTCTATATACGGAAATAAACATTTAAGTCATTCTTAACTTTTTTTAACTCCAACACAAGATTTTTTTTTTTTAAAGAAAAACATTTAAATAAAGTTACACGCATGTGCGTTCTAAAGTCCAGAGTCGTGGTTTGGTCTTTTCTATGTGAAGTCCTAAGATTTATGTTTTCAATCTCACAAGGGAAACTAGTTGGCGATTTGTTCGCCTGTTTAGTTAGCGACTGACCTCAAAAGGTTCTGGTTTACGGGTTTAAGATAGAAACGTAGTCAGACACGCTGCAGTCAGAAACGTTTGAAAGCAAGATGGACGCCATCATTAAAGAGTTTCATGATTGTGATAGCCAAGTACAAATCAAGTATTGCAGGTATTACACTGGTGACAGTGAGATACTACATGGAGTACAAATGACAAACAAAAAACAACATTGTTTGCCTTAAAAAAAAGTAAAAACCAAAACAGCTTTACCTTGGTCTTGGTGTGATGAGCAGCCATCTTGGTTATGAACTTGGTAGTCAGCACAAATGAGACCATAATATTTCTGCTAATTTTGTTTATCACACATTTTATATCACAGATTTATGTTATGACTATGAAAGGCCACTTGAGATACATTACAGCACCTTTGTTACCTTTTCCTATGTTTTATCTGACAAAACATAACCTAAATACTTGTAGGCTTTGGAGTTATTTTTGTATTGTTGCTTTGTTGTTCTTCTGCTTCTTTTTTCTCACCTTTATCCTTAACCTTAAATGTCACTCAGTCTTCTGTCTGGCAAGAAGAACCTCAAGATTTTATAAGATGTTTCGCTGTCATAATCTTGCAAAGTATCACACAGTGTATCTCAGCAACAACACAAAACCAGACGCAACCATCTCTCAACTCTTCATGAGGACAAATTAATCCAGTCACGGCTCATTATTTGTAGTTATTTATTCTTTCATGCTCAGTTTTCTAATGACTGTCTGGCTGCGTAGCTGAATTAAACAGACCCCAGTGAATAACACCAGTCTCCCATGTGTCATTTTTATTTTCTCTTGCACAACAACAGCCATTGTCATCATTCATCAGAATAAATCCATTTCTCATTCCCTCCCTCTGTTCATTTCATTCTGACTTCCTCATTGCGTCTAAAGAGTGAATGCTGCTCCCTAGTGATCAAAGTTAATACTCCACAGAAGTCATTGAATTTGTCAGGTTAGAAAGTGCGAAAATGTTTTTTTACCTGGAACTAAAGCTTTACATTCAAAAATTATTATAACGTAAAAAATGACAATAAATACATGTGAAATAGTTACCAATTACTTTTTAAAATTAAAAAAAAATTCTCCCAGTCCCAGTGTTGTGTATAAGGTCCACAGCAGTGGATGACTTTAGCCAACGGTTCCAGCAGAGTAATGAATGAGTCATGAATAATAGAGGAATAATGACTTGAGGGAAAAGACACACAAGTGCACCCATTATTGCACACACATGAGACAAAGAAGATTATATCACTATCTTTTTCCCAGCGATTGCTCTGTCCCCTCCGGTGTATGCAACTTCATTAACAAGGAGTCACAGAGAGCTACGGGGCATGTGGAAATGTCTCTCATATTATTATTTCTCGCATCTGCAGCAGAAGAAATAGAGAGGGAAAAATTAGGAACTAGTGGTGTGGATGATGGGAGCAAAATTCTGCTGCACTCAAAGGTCAGATCCCATTAGCATGAGATCAGCCTGTGGGAAATGAAGGGATTTGGTGGTGAGGTCTTGATATACAATGAAACTCAACTCTATTAAAGATGGCTTAATGCTAAAAGAAATTGTTATATTAGCGAAACCTGTTGTTTACTGTATACACTGAAATGAGTAAAACAGGCAACTAAACACATCCTTCAATAGGAATAGAGAAGTACGAGTATTGTTTACTCGTATTTCTACTACACGCATTTACACAGTGCTTCTGAATACCTGGATATATTTACTTGAACAAAAAAGTAATTATGAGTATTCTTACGTATAGTAGTATCACATCTTTCCAAACCAGAGTTATTGTTCTTTTTTCATGTCTGCCGTGATTACTCTCTGTCTTCGGTGGATATTTTGTTAGATGTTCGATAAATCTTTTAAAGCACACAGACACCATGAGAAAAACAAACCTTTGTGACAATACAGCCCTAATTAAAATGTTATTTAACAATAAAGGTTTAGTTTCGCATCGATTAGGAAAACGTTTCAATTACAATTATCCGTAATTGAAGCATCGTTTTATCGACGTCGCTGACGCTAAACGTCGCTCTCATGTTTCACACGGATGCTTATTGTGACGCACATGAAGCCATGAACGTCACAGATGACGCAGAGCGACCTGCAGAAAAGACCAGGGCTACCTACTGGCAACCCACTGAAACTATGAAGAAAAAATTGCCCAAAACATACAAGTTTACATTTTATGTATATTTTAATATCATTGTTGTTTCTATATGTCCATCGATATTTTATAAATACTTTTTCTTTTACTTTTTAGTTAAGCTATTTAGGCTTGTTGGTTCTAAAAAGACAAAAATAACCAATATTGCAGCCGTTAGGTTACTACCGATGTAATACTTTACTAAGTTTTGACACACTGGGTAGTTCCCCTCGTTTCCCTGCAGAGGGTGCAATGAACCCCACATGGTCTGATCAGCTATTTCCGACTGGTTAGTTGGTTGACAGCAAGTCGTCCTTTTTATCTTTTGTATTTTTTGTAACAATACTGTTTGGGGTGCACAGCTGTAGTAACAATTTTTTAAAACTTGAGCCAAAACAAATTTCAAAATGTTTCCTTATTTAGTTTCAACAGCATTGATCATATTTTGAACTATATTACTGCCATCTACTGGCCTCTGTTTTAAATTAACTGGTAAACATTTAAATAGTAGTCCAACAAACTAGCAAAAGAAAGATAAGATTAAAAAACAGAGGGCAGCATCCCTGCTGATGATTGGTGATGCAAAAGGTTTTGCAAATACATGCATCATATTTGTCATTTTCACAAAGACATAAAGGAGTGTTCAATTTAATCTGCAGTCGTGTGGTGTGTTCATTATCCCCTGATACAGGCCTGTTATACTAGCTCACACAGATATGTTGTTCTTTCACTCCCTGGTCTTTGGGCTGAACTCCTCTAAAATCCTCTCACATCTCCTGACCAGCTCCGGCAGCGGGTGAGAATTCACCTGAGGCGTCAGGTTTGGTGTCAAACTGTCCAAAAGCAACAATCTCTGCAGTCATCACAGGCCGGGCCTGAAGGTGACGTCTGTCTGAGATATGAGACATTTGAAAGTAAACGTGCTGAGTGTGTGTGATCGAGTTGCCCGGTGGCTCTGAACATTTTCAGAAAACCTATTAAAGTTCAGTGGACTCTGGTTAACTGTTTTCCTGCAGGTCATGAATTGATTGACAGAGTTTGGGTTTTTAAATTTCAAGACTGTGTTTGGTGAGATTTGTTTCAATGATTATGATTATTTTTATGCAAATCCAAAAGTCCATTATCCAAAGTCTTTGGATAATAGGGTTTCTTTTTTTTTTTTACCTTTTATTCCTCACTGCAAACTGGCTTTTTTTTTTAAAACATAAACAGATGAGTGTTGTTTGACCTTTCTGCTTCAGCTTGTGTTTTCTAAACAGGAAGTTTTAAAGAACAGTATTTTTATCTCACACGGCTGAACTTCCTCTATTCTCACCTGTGATTTTTTTGCAGCTTCTGTTTAATTTGGTTCCCGTTACTCTGCCATCCTGACTTTACTGCATTGTTCATTCCTAAAACACCATGTTGCTTTTCATCTCTCTGCTCGTCTTTATATCCGAGAGTTCAGGTGAGAATTTTTTCTTGTAATATTAAGTGTGATCACAACATTTTTAATTGCGAATGCTAATTTGTACGTACTTGTGTCCATTTCTGTTCTTCTGATTTCAAAAGGATTTTATACGTCATGGTCACCTGCAACTGTAAGTCTGATCACAACTCCCTCCGTGGGTAAGAAGAACGTATTACAGTGACATTATTCAGCACAGGACTTAAGTGACAGACATGTGTTTGTAGTAAATGTTAAACATCCTCCCCTGCAGATTTACGTCCTCTGCAGGTGGAGGCCGTACCAGACTACCCGGTTACGGCGGGTCAGACGGTCACACTGTTCTGCAGTTCTGTCAACTCTTACATCTGGCAACACTTAGTAAATCTGAATTGGCAGGATGTGGGCCAGGATGGAAACCTGACCCTCACACAGCCACAGCAAAGCGGGTTGTACCGGTGCAGGGCCAGGACCACGTCTTTGCACATAAGCCGTAATCTTACGGTCAACATTGAGCCAACAGGTCAGTGGTTAGATTTGATTTTTGAGCATTTTGGCATTACCAATTAACATTTTTAGTTAAGGTTGTTAATTGCTTATTTTACAAGCGATACAATTACCTTAATAAAATGTGTTTAAATATATTTTTATTTCACTAGTTCTAGTAATACATGGATCCCATTTTAGAGAATAGTTTAACATGATTCGTGGGGCAATGTTTATAAAAACAAAAAGTCTTAGGTCTAGATATTATTGTTAAGCAGCAAAGAAAACCTAAATGCCACAAATCCAGCTAAAATAATGTAAAATCATCCTATAAACAGCTCAAAGTTGGCCAACGTACATAACATACGTTGGCTTAGCTTAGCAGGAGCTGAAAAAATAAAAGCCAAAGTTAGCTGGAATTCTCAACAAAGTAACTAAAACGTTGCATAGCCATATGTTTGAGTAATCAAGAGCCTATGTTAGCTAAGTTAGCAATGACAAAAAAGCTAAAAGAGTGAATTAACAGCAAAAATAGAAGCAAATGAAGTTAGCCAAAGAAGTTAGCCAGGATGCTAGTCAAATGTTCACCAAAAGGTAGTGCCACATTTCACTGGAAATTAAACAAAATACCTTAGAACCACTTATTATTATGAATGAAAACAATAAAAATTCCACATTTCACTGGAAATTAAACAAAATGTCTTAGAACCACTTATTATTATTACGAATGAAAACAATAAAAATGAGATTTAACTTGATGACAGTAAACAAATACATAACATAAAAACAATTATTTGCCCCAGGCTAATTAGATGTTTTTAGTATACAATAAGGTATAGTTGGCAAATTGCAATCATACACTTTGTAATTGCTTTGTTTTTTTTGTTTTTTGTTTTGTTTTGGTTTTTTTTTTCCTGTAAAGTAAACACAGTAAAGAAGGATTTGGCTGAACCTGCCTTTGTCCTGTCTCTGCTGGGTTTTGTCATTTCTCTTGGAATTGTGGGTTGGCTGCTCTGGGGAAAATTCAGCAACTACATATCAACCTCCACTAAAACAGAAGCTAAAGGTAAAATGTCACTCGTCATTTTTCTGTCATGCTTAAACTTTATGTATATGTCGAAAACCTTTTTCTTTTTCTTTTAAAGGAACTGACAATGCGTCAAAGTAAGTCTTGACCAATCACACCCTTGACTTCCTGTAGTATTTGTTTCGTTCTGAAGCTTCAGCAAAACTAATGTTTTGTTTTTTACCATCAGAGGGACTTTACCAAAGACTGAGAGTGATGGAGACGTGTACATGAATTACACCAACAGCCAAGCCTACACCACACTGGACCCCAACAGCATGACTGCAGACAATGTGTATGCAAGTCTGTCATAATACACTCTTAGCAACGGAAACAGGGTTGCAATAAAAGGAAGCCGAGTGACACAAATGGAAATTTGATTTATAAATTCATTTTACACAAGTTAAATACACGGTTGTACTACAAATAAACTCTGTAAAACATACATTTACATAGAATCCATTTTTTTAGTTAGTTGTTCTTAGGAGGATATTTACTTAAAACCGTAAAGTCAATGAGATAAATTTGTGAATTTGACTTGATTAAAATAACTGGTACTAAATGTTTTGAATGGAAATCATAAAAAAAAAAACTTTTTAAATAACAAAAAATAATAATAAAAAAAAACATATATCTTTGAATATTATGAAAAAAGGGAATAATTTAAATACAAAAGACGAAAGCAGATTTTAAATACACATAACATTTGTAAATACATAATAACTGAGTATTCCTGGCTAAAAAAGTTGCATTTCATACAAATGAAGACTATATTTATAGTCTTCTTTGGAATGCAGCCTGACATTAAAAATATTCCTACACAAAAATAAATATTTCTAACTCAGTCCCAGGTTTGTTCATTGAAAGTTCTTTCATTATTTAACATTTAACTTGAATTCAAATTTAAAGACTTTTCTAGAATTCTATCAGTTATATAAGTGACAGGATGTGTGTAGTCATCGCGAGTACTTGTGAAATTTTGGTTTTTTTCCTTCTCTATTCTCTGTTATACAACAAAATGTTTGTGAAATAATGTCAGATGTTGGAGTGTCACCAACAACTAGGTCCCGTTGAATATCACGGCTTTTACCATTTTGACACTTGGATGCATGCGTGGAGTTGCCTTTACTCAAAAAAAAAAATAAAATAAAATAAAAATTAAATTTTTGTCTATCATTAGTATTCCGTGGAGTTGCCTTTACTCAAAAAAAAAGTATTGAATGTTTATTTTGGACTCCAGTTGTGAGCAGGATTGGATGGTTCGGCACACTGGATTTGGCCCACGAGCCAACAGTTGATTATCGCTGCAGTCTGAGCAGTCAAACTGTTGTATCTAATCATCTAACCGAGGAGTGTGTGTCACATATGAGATCCCCGAGGAGAAAAATGCCGTTCCTCACACATCATCACCTGCAGTTCCTGGGTTTCACAATATCACGTATGACTCATAAAGACAGAGGTCTAAATGTACAGGAGTCGAGTGTCTCATAAAAGATTACACTGTTGTAAGTCATTAACAGTGACAGAGTTCTTGAAGAATCTTGAGTGGAAGCTGCTCCCTGAATGCCTGAGGAGCCGCCCTCAGGGTCCATACATGTTGTTTGTTGTGATTTATGAGATGGACATTTCCATTGTTTTGAAGTTGGTGAAATTCTCTGAGCAAGACACGTCTCGTCTCCTTCATGAAATGTCCTCACAGAGAGACACAAACAGGCCTTCCGTTTATGAAACTTCTGCTTTTTTCTCATTTCCCACGCAACCTCAGATCTGTTATCCTCAGTATTTTATACTTAGTTACAGATATTTCCATCGGCCAGTTTGTGGCCAGGATGTTGGCGAAGGCTCTGATCTGCCAGGCTTTGCTTCCTGCTCTCCAAGGACATATCTGTGACGGCCGTCTGGGAGCAGCCCTCTCCCTTCCCAATCTTTTTAATATGGGCCATGATGTATTTCCTGAACCTGGTTGTGGCAAAAAAGTAGACGACAGGGTCCAAGAGGCAGTTGAGACCCATGAAAAGCAACGTGATCTGATGAGTGTCGTTGAGAGCCTGAAGAGTGTTCTGGTCCCAGTCCACCTGGCCCCAGCCCTTTTGAATCTGCAAGACTGCCAGTGTCCAGGGGCCCTGGATGACATGGTGGGGAAGGAAACACAGTGCAAAGACAGCGACCACTGCCAGCAGCGTCTGCAGGGCTCTGGACTTTCTGGACAAGGAGGACTTAGACCTGGTACTGCACTGGGGAGTATTTCCAAAAACTAAGGCCCGAGCAGTAAGGGAGTTGCACACCACGATGAGAAAAAAGACGACAAAAAACGCTGCGATGATCACTAAATGTATGGCCGCTATTAACTTTTTCTCGTTATCGGTTTGATTTTGAAATCCCTCAAAGCAGCGAGTGATGTTGTTTTGGTCGGTCTGGATCCCTGGATTCATCAGGGAAGGAATGGCCATGGATATGGTCAGTCCCCAGATTATGATGCACACAACGATGCCACGACATCTGTGATCTGAAGAGGCTGCATCCAGAGGCCTGACCACTGCCCAGTGCCGGTTTACAGTGATGGCCCCGAGGAAGAGGATGGAGCAGTAGGTGTTGATGAAGAAAAATGACCCGGTCAATCGACACATGAAGTCACTGTAGACCCAGTGACCATGACGGCTGTAGTAGCCGATCCAGAAGGGCAGGGCAGACACAAAAAGGAGGTCGGCGACGGTTAGGTTTGTCATGTAGATAAAGATTTCACCCATTCTTTTGAGTTTACGCAGGTTCCGCATGACAAACAACACATAGGCGTTAGCAAGGAGGCCGAGTACGAAGATGATGCCATAGGCAACAGGAAACAGGATGTAACGGAACTCAGAGTCCAAGAAGGTTGAGATATTAGGGGCTGCAGAGCCAGGGTGAGGTGGAGAGGTCTCCATCATCTCCGCTGTCTCTGTGGTCCACGTCGACATTTTTGTCTGGAGAGATTATACATAAAAAAAATAATCTCGATTATAGCAGGTACATTTAGCAGGTACAAATAGTGACGTAGTATTTATAAATTACACAAACTGTAAAAGTAGCAACGCTTTCATTAAACCAAGAAGCTGAAAAATAAAGGAAAAATAAAGGAAAAATAGAGAAATGATTACGGTGAAACATTATTCAAGGTTAGCCAAAACAGATTAAAAAAAAAAATGTAATCCGCTTACAAAAATAATTACCTCAGTTTAAACTTCACCATGTAGATAAAAAGTAATAATTACCCAAAAACATTTCTGAAGTTGCTGGAAAATATTTTATGGACACCTAAAAGTTGACAAGATATAGCCACAAAAAAAGTAGCCATGAAAGCTAGACAAATTAGCCTAAAAAAGAAAAAAGCAAATCAGGTCAAATGTGGCTACAATTAGATTAGCTTTTGGCTAATGTTAGGGGAAATAATAATAAGCAATAGCAAGAAATAACACATATTTAGCACAAAAAAACCAACATCTGAGGATTAGTTAAATTATAGCTACATGTTGATGCAAAATAACTGAAGATTTGTCTAATTTGGCTGATATGTTTCCTCAAACTTTACTAAAGCTAGCCAGATGTAGCCGTTTACCAGCTAACTTACATGGCTAACTTACGTAAGACTTAAAATGCACTAGAACCAAGAGCAGGAAACAGAGCTGATAAAACAATTCTGAAAAACCTGCAGCCAAAAAACCACAAGAGAGATGAAAGACATAACTTCTTTTTTATCTACTGACCTTGATCAGGACAGATTAGGTTAGTCAGGATATTATAGGTTTATTTTTTATTTATTATTTTTTTACTGATCAGGTTTTTTTTTTTAAATCGACCCATTCATCCAGCTTCTGTGGCCCCGTGGTCATACCATGAACCAGTGACTGTTGACAATCAAATTCAAGAGCTGAAATTACGTAAGACGGCAGGAAACAGCGGTTCTATTGGCAAATCATTTCTATTGCATCCACCAACGGTGAGTTGTGACTCATCATTTGTCTGTTTTCACTTGTTATAGGAGCAACAATGATAATAAATGTAATATTTCAACAAATACAGTTTTAGGTCAGGGGTTTTCAGTGTTTACAGACCCTCATACTAAAGCTTTTTATCTGAATAGGACCGTTCCTGACTGCCTCCACATATCCATCTGCTTGGATGTATTTGTTTAAGTGTAAATAAAAAATGTACATTTCTGAGAATGAAATGGGAGGATTTTTTTTAATGGTCTCATCAACCAAAAACTATTTGACAAAACAGTTTTTATTTTTATTTTGGAGTCACCAAAAAAATTCCAATATCTGTTGCCCATTAGTTATTATATTATATTTCATAGAAATGCAATTACAGAGATAAATGACACCGCCTTAAATAAGACGTCTGAGCAGCTTCTAAATCAAATATTAGAAGGTTTATTAACGAGGGATTAAATATTCACACACGATAGGGCTTTTTTTTAAAAAACATGAATAATACATTATTATCTTTACATTTTTCCATTTGCTTTAATGACTCTGACTTATGACCATATAGTAAATTGAAGAATATAAATTAGTCGTGTGACTCACCATGCTGGCTCTTCTTCTGTATTATCTCTCAGTAGCTCTCAGGATATGAACTCTCTGCTTTTCTGTGTTCTCCGTTAATACTGTGTGTAACAGAGAGGGTGTGTGTGTGTGTGTGTTATAAGGAGGAGGAGGAGGAGGAGGAGGAGGAGGTGCGGACTTCTCTCAAGTCTTCTTGGGAAAAACTCCCCGTGTGATGCAACCAGAGATTTATGGTACCTGTTGTCAAAAACAAAAGCTGACGTTCCCCATTTAGAGAAATCTTGGGTTTTATTTTGTCAGGTCTTGGTTCCTCTGCTCTTAGATTGAAACAAACAACAACAAAAACACAGAAATGCACCTTTAACCATTTTTGTTTAAAGAAAATGTGATTAAACCAATGATATTCTTAAATTGTATCAGTTTATCTTTTATCCAGCAATGCGACTTGACAAGTTTTCTTAAAATATTTTCAAAATACCTTAAAGTGGGCAGAAAATATTCCATTAAATAATCTGGCTGTTTTAGATTTAGTTTCGCAAAGAAACAAAATGTGATTCTCCACATTATTGTAGGTTATTTGTAGGTCACAGATAGCTGGAATAGGTCATTAAAAATCAAAACCGAAAGAAGGAATCAAACATTTAACCTGTGATGTCGACGACAACTCACGCGGCTCCCTCGGAATTACCCGACTTTCATCATACTCGGATACGTCGGTGTGTAATGATGTAGTTTGGCCACACGAGGCCAGAAGAGGCCAATAGGAAACGGAAAACTACAGCTTCCTCAACACGTGGTGGAAAAATTTCATTGCAGGTAATGTTCCCACTCAGCATGAGCCTTTTTTTTTCTCTCTTCATGTTTAGTTACAAGAACCCGCAAAATTTTACCCCAACTTGAAATTTGACAAAAATACGTCGGAGCACGCAACTCGACACATTCTCCTCTCCTCTGTGCCACAGTGTAATTCCCTAAATTAAGGTTAAAGAGCCTCCCTAACCTTGGTGCTGTGATTATGGCTTGGCAGTGTAACAAGAGATCCAGCATTCTGTGGTTGTGCCCTGCGTGACTGTCAGACATGCTGTGCTGTTGCTTTGTTTGCAAGCTTACACTAGAAAAAAAAAGAAAAAAAAAAAGAAAAACTCTAAATACATGTGGGGGCCGACGGTTTGGGTGTGTATTCATAAGATTCCACAGCATGTCTCAGGGATTTGTTTCGGGTATGGGATGTGGTTTGGTTCAAAGAACGGTATTAGATGTGTGTACGACTTTTTAATTTTATTTACATACATCTTGGAAGTCTAATCCTTCAGCAAAAACGATTACATGTCACTTGAACTTTGCCATTTCAAGCACAGTTGACTCGAGAAAGTGTCATTTATTCACCCAAAAATTGAGGGGAGATTTTTTTTTTTTTTGTGCCATTTGTCAATTGTAATTAATACTGAGTGTCTCGTTAAATACATAGGATAAACAGGATTTGTTTACCTTTGGAAGAATGTGTGTGTTCTCTCTTTCCAGGAGTTAGATGAGAACATGCAGCAGAAAGACGGGGAAACAACAAAAAAGTACTGATTCTGGCAGAAGTAGAAACAGTGTTAGTCTTTTTATACAGACAAACGAGAGAGAGAGAGAGAGAGATATTATATATACATCTTATATAATGTGAGCTCAGTATAGTGCAATATAATCCAATACACACACACATTTATATATATATACATATATGTATTCATTCAAACATTTAAACGTTTTAATCTGGATGATCACAGGGGAACTGTGCATCAATCATGATTAATCATGATTAATCATGATTAATCGCAACCAATCATGATTAATCATGATTAATCAACAAATAAATTGTCGTTCCTAAATACAAAACAGATAAAAAGAATACTGGGATGGAAAGACAAATAACAGCAGATACATTTTTAACCATGGAATTATAAAGATGAAAAAATGTCCACAAAAAATGCAGTACAACTCCAATTTGACCAAATACAATATATGCAATAATTGTGTAATTATTATTTTTTTCTTTTGGTTGGTGGAGTTTAGCCAGTACTGTCCATCTTTACGGAGGCTGGTAGAACGTTGTTTTTCAACTGTGTATTACAACGAGTCGAAGTGGAAGGACGCTGGAATTATTGACCACAGCTACCGTAGCTATACTCTGTTTTCAATCATCTTTGGAAAATAATGTGAATATTATTAATAATAGTGATGCAGGTCATGGCTGATGTTCCACACTGACGCACAGATGTCTTGAAGGAATCGTTTCTCTCGCGTGTTGTGGGTGTTTTTCCAGGCCAGGTGTGCAAAGACACAGAAAGGGAAAGCTGCCAGCACTGAAACTTTTTTATGGGATAGCGATCTATCGTTCTGGAAGAACTTCAATAGTCATAAGTCAGACTCATGCATTCCTCGTACAGGCAGGAAGGGAGGGGGCTCTCCGTGCAGAATTT